CCTACATCTTGGATGCTGTTGAGGTAAGATGAAACACACCAAACATTTATTTCTAAGTGAACTATCCCTTTAATGCTTTAATTATCAAATTTGCATATGTAAACCATAAACATCATAGTAATGTCATTTCTACTTCTTAGCACCATAATTTTATGGGTTTTTTTTAATAAATAAAGTGTGGGGTAATAAAGGACACTTAGTATTGTCAGTGATGGATAGTACCTGTCACACAGTATTCAAAGACCACCATCATCTTCAGGACTTCCAGAAATAACATGACGCAGATCCATTCCAAGTAATCTGATGATTAAACAAAAAGCATTTCTGATCAGCACATCTCTTACAAAACGCTGTTTAGTGAATTATAAATGTAAACCTTTATTTGTCCTTGCATTAAATATTTGTCTTTGCATAAAAGCACAAGTCTACTAACAAAACTACTTTAAGAAAGTGTATTTTTTTCTAGATGAAAAAATAAAATGACTATAAAATAAAGGTAACGCTTTTCAATAAGGTTCATTAAACATTAGTTCATATATTTACTGACGTAAACTAACATTGAGCAATACATTTGTTACAGTATTTATTCATCTTTGTTCATTTTGTTCATTGGGTCTATGAAAGCACGATATTTAGTTAATATAAACACTGTTCATTGCTATAGTTCATGTCAGTTCACAGTGAATTAACTAATGTCACAACCTTTGATTTTAATAATGTATTAGTAGATGTTAAAATTCATATGAACTCAAATGAATAAATGCTGAAGAAGAATTGTTCCTAGTTCATGTTAACTAATGAACCTTATTGTAAAGTGTTAATAAAATAGAGTAATTTGACCTACCTTTCTCCTTGTCCAATACGGTTAGAAGAATATAAATGTAAAGGATGATATCCAGGAGTGGTATTGTTATCATCCACAATAATGTTATCCATCCTCTCTGGAGAACTGTGAATGAAAACATCACCTTCTGAATTCATAAACTTTCACAAGATCTGATCTCAAATCTGACGAGGATCAAGTGAGAAGAGTCGACATGAAATCTAAATTGACACTATTTATGTTCTTTATGAATGTTATTGATCTAAAGGTGGACAATTTGTCTGTGTGTTTCTGTGTTTTGTTTTTTAACATTGAAATCTTGAGGAAAAATGCCATAACTTCATCTTCTGTTAGAGGATTCACTTTAAGACACTCACTATCAGATATGCCTCAATTCAGTTACACACACAATCAGGGCCGTGCAGAGACCTCTGGAGGGGCAGGTGCTCAATATCAACAAACCAGTGGATGAAATCAATCCCAGGTTTTTTTTTTAATTTTTATTTTAGACAGTCATTTCAATAAAAAATATATGTCTCAATATAGTCAATAGCAACTCCTGTTCATGCTGACTTTAAATCATGGTTTAGCAAATATTATGAATTAAGGGTATATTTTTATATAAGCAATGTATTAGATACAGGATAATTATTCTGAGTTTTACTCTTTTCACATCTATACAAATACAATAATGTTTATCAGCTTGTACTTACAGTTGAATTCTGCTTGTAGACAAGATAAAAGTGGTATACAGAAAAGGAGCAGTGCTGGACCAATGCCACAGCAAAAAATGCTAAAATAAGAGAAAAAGTCTGTTATTTTCCCATTGAAAAAAACAAAATAAAACAATGTAATAAAGATACATGTGATTGTTTATAATATCTGAAACATTTAATCAACTGTATTTTTACACAAAAAGCAATGTAAACAGGTAGAATTTAAAACTACATGTTGTAAATGAATGTAATTATATATGAAGGAATCAGTATTCAGGCTTTACCTAGAGAGGGAAATCCAAATGAGGAGAACAACTGGAACAATTGAAAGAGAATAATCCCAAACAAAAAACCTAAAAAATAAAAATAAAAAAAAGAGAGCAAAGCATGAATGGAAGAATTCATTACAGGATCCCCTGAACTACAGGAACAGCCACATTTATGTTAATAGTTTGTAACTGTGCTTATTTATGTTAATAGTTTGAGTAGAGCACCAATAATCGTACAGATTTTACATTTCGAATTATTCCTTTCTTCTTTTACGTTTTTGTTCTTTATCGACACTCAGTAACACACAGTGTATATTAAACTATGTGTGTGACTATATAAACTGATGTATTGAGAGCACTTGATCAGGAATGTTTTTTTTGTGCTAATAGTATTTTGCAACTCTAATAACTCATATTGGGGTAAATCAATAAGAATGTGCTCACCTAGAGTTGGCATGATTGAGGAAACCCGTCTTGGCCGCTCCTGACTGCATAGCCTTCTGAGGTCCTCTAAAACACAAACATTAACACACAGTTAGGTCTACAAGTTGAAAACTTGCCACTTATGTGTTTGATTTTCATTTTTGGTAATTGTAGAATAAATGTAAAATAAATGTATATGAACAAAACCATTGGTAATCTATTTATTAGCCTAATAAATCAGTGCTTATACTTAGCCTGCCGCTTTAAATTAAGGAATCAAATCATACAGGAGCTCTTACTTCCACTCAGGATGAGACACAACAGCAGAACTCCTGCAAAGCATAATCCAGAACCTACATGACGTCTCCAGTCTGTATCATGTGCACTCTTTCTCCAGCCATATGCAAAAAGAACTAGACGAATAGATACAAATGAAAATGTCACACAAGATAAATGATGTCCTGAGCAGGAACAGAAGATATCTAAACATATGTGGAGAACAAACACACTTAAATGAGGCCATAACATCACATGATCATGAAGGCAACAGCAGAACATGCAGTGAATTATAAAAAGTTGTAATTGTATTATTTTGTAATGAACATTTCAAACCCATAGTTTCTGTTGTCCTAAAGCAGCATATGCAGTACATGTTAATACTCGACAGATATCACTGAAATAGATGTTCTGAGAACTCAAAAAAGAAAGTAATCCTGGGATAGTAGACAGTATCTGTACTTTAATCACTTTGAGGATTCAGGGTTGGACGATGGGATTTTAGGAGAAGAGAGGGTGGAGTGAGATTTAATGGCTGAATTCTGGCCAAGTCTACTGAAGTTATCAAAACAGGTCATATTTCATAAAGCTTTATTAATGTCAGAATAATGAGCATGATGTGAAACATTAGGATTTACTCACCTGAATAAACAACGACTGTGAAAACAGTCAATTCACTGGTTATTCTGAAAAACCTGATCCATGTTTTAATGTTGTCTGTAGACAGAAAGGATTGAACAAATCAAATCAGGTTATTATAGAATATTATTACACATCCGTTTCATTGCTTGTACTTTACATTTAAGCAGTTTTATGGGACATGTTTTTTTTTTCACCAAACACTACAAATTTCTTTACACAATCAATCAATACATGCCAAGAATACAGTTTTATTAATTTGACAATTTAATGTATTTAACTGGAGATGTAGATTTATAAAGCCCCGAACAAAAACTAAACAACATATTACATCATTTGTGCCGAGGAGCATTCAATGACTAAATGGATCATCTATGGGCACATAGATTTATTTTTAATGTGCATTATTGAATATATATCTGTTTATTGATTTTAGAGGTATATTATTGAATATATATTTATCTATTGATTCCTTAAGTTGTCGAATCGATAATTCAATGTCAATTTTTGCTCTTTTATTCTGTTTATTCTATGTTTGTTGGGGTTTTGTTTATTGTGGTTCCCATGAGTGTAAAACAAATTCCCCCTTGGGGAAATAAAGGTAGGTAGGTAGGTAGGTAGGTTTCTTTCTTTCTTTCTTTCTTTCTTTCTTTCTTTCTTTCTTTCTTTCTTTCTTTGTTCCTTCCCTTCCTTCCTTCCTTCCTTCCTTCCTTCCTTCCTTCCTTCCTTCCTTCCTTCCTTCCTTCCTTCCTTCCTTCCTTCCTTCTTCCTTCCTTCCTTCCTTCCTTCCTTCCTTCCTTCCTTCCTTCCTTCCTTCTTCCTTCCTTCCTTCCTTCCTTCCTTCCTTCCTTCTTCCTTCCTTCCTTCCTTCCTTCTTCCTTCCTTCCTTCCTTCCTTCCTTCCTTCCTTCCTTCCTTCCTTCCTTCCTTCCTTCCTTCCTTCCTTCCTTCCTTCCTTCCTTCCTTCCTTCCTTCCTTCCTTCCTTCCTTCCTTCCTTCCTTCCTTCCTTCCTTCCTTCCTTCCTTCCTTCCTTCCTTCCTTCCTTCCTTCCTTCCTTCCATGTTGCCATCAATTTGCATTTACTGATCCCCTTAACAATAATAATAATAATAATAACAACATCTTGAAATCCTAACATACCTTTGAGATAGTTTAAATAAGACAAAGCCCAAATCAACATGACAGGCCTCAGAATAAACAGAGCGCAGCAAGTGACGGTCTCATGGAGAAATCCTGGAACACAATATATTGACGGTCTTAAACAATATCAATCAAATACAACATTTTAAGTCCATCACAACAAAATTACAATACAATCTGCCACATGCTCAACACACCTTCAGTGAGAGCCCAGAGGATGAAGGCGAAGAACATGCAGACATTTGGACAAAAGACCAGAGAAAGATGAAGATTCCAGATTGTTCTGCTGTTTTCTGGAGAGAAGATGAAGAATAAACACAGTTAAACGAGTGAAACACTTACAGTCACACAATCACAAGAAATAAAAAGATTTTCCCTCCAATCACACCTGTGTTTTTAACTCTGCAGTAGATCAGACAACAGAGCAGAAGCACAGCTCCAAATCCAGCAACGACACAGAAAAACAACACAGTTATGTGCCGAGAAGAGAAACCTGTGAGACACAGACATCCGTCATTAAACTGCACTGAATCAATTTTAATTTAATTTATATAATTATGAAGAATTTGCAATTAAAGTATTTTAAGGAATTCCCATTTGCAAGCACTTTTTATATATTTATATTTTTATATATTTATATAACGTAGGGCGAAAATGAGCTTCCCCTCCTTGAAAGACCAGCAGCCGCCACTGGTCAGGATTTACTAGACATGCAGTAAACATTTGTGGGGATTACCTCCAGGAAAACATGTTGATTTCCCTGATATGTGCATTTTAAGAAGTCTGAAGGCCAAAAAACTGGTTACCAGTCGATTTAAAAGCATGTCAGTGGGCAGTAGCATAAATCAAGCAGATTACAGACTCTTAAACATGAGAAACAGGTTAAATGCAGCAATGAATGATCAACACCATAGATATCTATATAAAGGCTAGATATGTCGTCCACGCTGCTGGCCAATGGAGGTCGTCGTCTGCACCTGGCGGCCATCTTGTCACAGGCAGCTAGCTCACTCGTAACATTGTGTTAATGGTACATGTAATATTTAAATAACCATAACTTGCTCAATTTTATACCGATTTTCAAACGGTCTGGTTTGTTATAAACGTCAGAGATGTAGTTATGACACTGCACACTTATGAACAATAAGTGTATAAATAAATAATCATCCAGATAATTATAGCCATGTTAATAACGTTTGTAAGAAACCAATCGTTTGTAAATCCGTCAAGATTTCAACGAGATAAGAGTAATTGTGTTCGTGCTGACCACTCATCTTACATCAGCTTGTCTGTGACAAGATGGCTGCCGGTGATGACGATGGAAACTCCGCCGTAACACATCTAGCCTTTATATACATATCTATGGTCAACACTACCAACTGGCAGAGGCTAGTTTATGTTTATTGTTATTGATACTTGTAAAATATCACATTCTGGGAACATCTCTCTTTCAAACAGATTTGTGTTCGATGGGCCTGATGTTTAAACGGTGCGTAGGCACAAAGTGACCATTGAAATTATGTGTACACTGTAGAACATTGTCCCGCAAATAAATGGTAAAAATACTGGCAATGCTGTTGCGGGTAATTTACTGTTAATCGTGACAGATTAAGACAGTTAATGTTATCCCAGGTGAAAAAGACGTTGTATTAAATGTATTAAAAATATATTTGAAATACAAATAGTGTGTTTATAATACATTTGTATTTACAACATGCTTATTTAAAGTGTACTAAAAATGTATTTTATTGCATTTTAGTATATTTCTAAAAAGTATACTAGAAGTACATTGGTAATAAATATATATTCAATTACACTTTTAAGAAATATACTATAGAAAAGCATACTTTTAATGTATTTATAAAAAGTATATTAGCAATATATTGGTAATAAATGTATGCTTTATTATATTTTTAATAAATATGCTAATGATAATTATACTTTAAATGTATTTCTAAAAAGTATATTAGAAGTACATTGGTAATAAATATATGTTTAAATACACTTTTAAGAAATATACTATAGAAAAGCATACTTTTAATGTATTTATAAAAAGTATATTAGTAATATATTGGTAATAAATGTATGCTTTATTATATTTTTAATAAATATGCTAATGATAATTATACTTTAAATGTATTTCTAAAAAGTATATTAGAAGTACATTGGTAATAAATATATGTTTAAATACACTTTTAAGAAATACACTATAGAAAAGCATACTTTTAATGTATTTCTAAAAAAGTATATTATTAGTACATTGGTAATAAATGTGTGCTTAATTATATTTTTAATAAATATGCTAATGACAATCATGCTTTAAATATGTTTCTAAAAAGTGTACTAGAAGTACATTGGTATTTAATTACATTTTTAAGAAATATGCTAAATACAAACATATTTTAATTATATTTAAAAATGTTTTACTAGAAACGCAATGCTAATAAATATACACTTAATTACACTTTTAGAAATATGCTAAAAACAAACATAGTTTTAGTGAAGTTTTAGTGTATTTACAGAAAGCATTGTTGCTAAATTAAAGTATTTTTTGTGTTCACTTCAAGTTTAAAAATTCAAGTCCCTTTAATTCCCTTCCTAACATGAAGGCAATTAAACATGTATCGAAATTAATTGTATATTTCTACAAAGACTAGAAGTAGCACTTTAATTATAAATATGTGCTCAGTTAAGCTTTTAAGAAATATACCAAAAACTAACACACTTTTTGTAATACTACCAACACTTAACTCAATGCATATGTATTTCACACTTTATATTTATGTGTTTTAGGTTTAACTTTTTAAAATTAATTTGTTATAATTATGAAAAGCACTAAAATTTGACTAACAAGTAATGCACTTCTATACTTCTGCATTAATTAATCAAATAGTCTTTTCCACAAAACAAGTGAATACCAGTACTTGCACACATCAACATAAAAGATCAGGTGTACATACTAGAAAAACAAAATAAATTTCTTAAAGCTTGACTCTTACATTTGTTTAGCCAAAATTAATTAAAAAAAACTTGTTAATAAGCATGTTAGGTTTATATAAACAGAGTTGTTTCTTTTTTTGTGGATGTTAGTTAATATTTCCAGTTGCATTCATTTGGACCAATCAGAGCCAATCTTTTCAAAACAAGCTTGCCGGCAATTGTCCAATCACACACTGCCATTTGAACTTACATGTTGGGCGGGGCTCGGACAACGGATACTGACTGTCTGTGGTATTCCATTATAGCTTCGGATATTTCAACAGATCATGTATTTTCCAAATTTTGCTTTGTTATTTCACTGGCTCGGACCTAGTGAATGTGGATAGCACCGATCTAATATTGAGAGAAACACACGAGCAGATTACCAGGTCGTCAGCTCCCGCGAACAATTTAGCAGTGAAGAGGACAACGCAGAGGTGCGCCGCCACGACATGGACAGAGCAAGATACTGCCAGAAAAGATCTTACTTCTTGGTGGTAAGTTTATTAGTTTAAGTGATTAGTATAATTGGCTTTATTCTCACTTTGGGTTTAGAAAATATTTTCAGAAGTTGATGTCGATGTTCTGTGGATTACTGGCGTTTCTGTTGATTTGACACTAAAGCGAGTTAATCCATTGACGTCTATCAACTTAATTGTTATAGATCTAGACAGTGACATAATACAACTATAAAAACATTGCACACTGTGTTTGCAGAAAAAAGGTTATTAATGGTGATTACACGACAGGCTTGATTGTCCCTAAGTAACTTCTTGTGTTTTAAATATTATAATATATTTTAAGCTCTAATAAACTTTCACATCTGTGATATTTAATTCATAGTAAAATCTAATTAATTATTAGTAGGCTGTCAGTTTTCATGTCAATTCGATAAATACATTAAGTTGTAATCACCAACTATAAGCTTTCACAAAACCAATTATTAAATATCTTGCACTGAGAATTTAAAAATGATGTTAAATAATGAAATGAGAGATTTTATATTTAATATTTAGCCTAGCCAAGGAATTTGCACATTGCAAAGACATTTTTTTTATTAAACCCAACCGTGAGTAGATGAGGTCAAGTCGAGTAAGTTGATCCTCTTGATTTGTAACTTTTTGTTGGTGAAAAACAACAAAAAAAGGCAATAGTGTGTCATGTAGCAGCTAAGTAACTAAGTGACCTATATATATTAACACGTATTTGAAAAATGAATATGTATTTTGCCTGATTATGCATTGAATTATGCAATCACATAATCGTGTTTTTCTCGAGGGACTGATTTATATGATTTTATGAGTGGTATTCAGCTTTTTTACATTTTTAATTACATTATAATCAAGGCGTTATCAGCTGTCACCAACTTGTAACTTTCAATAGAAAGTTCTGTCTTTATTAATAATGAATAATTACTTTAATAATAGGGTGGAAGTTACAGTAATGGTTCATTAAATATGTTTCACCATTTAAACAAAATACAAATTATATATGAAGAACACAAACTAGTGTTTTTTCTGCCCTAACTTTGTATAACATGCGACTTTATTTTTTCTTATAGAGCTTCCAGGGATATTAGCATCTCTCAAAGAGGCCCTGGAGTCCATGAAACGAGGTTCATTCAGCTCAAGCCCAAGATCATCTGAGCTGTGTCTTCCTGAAACCTCAGAAATGGTTAGAAAATTCTTTATGATAAAGAAAAATCCTATTTGTTATAATAATTATATCTGACTTTTTGTGCATTAAGTGTTCTGAATTAAGTAACAAAGTGACAGCTTTTTATTAGAATTATAAATGAACAAGTTTATACTAATGCTTGTTTTTTTTTATTCTTGCCAGATTTCCCTCGGTGTTTCTGATGTCCCCAAAAGAGTCTATGGCAGACTGAACAAGTCACGAACTTCTCTTTTTACTCAAGATTTGGCCACTTTACTTTTTGCTATTGTATTTCACTTTGTTTGACTTAAAGGATTAGTTCACTTTAAAAAAAAAAAAAAAAAAAAACCTTTAGCTGATAGCTTACTCACCCCCATGCCAAGATATCCATGTCATTCTTTCTTCAGTTGAAAAGAAATTAAGGTTTTTGATGAAAACATTTCAGGATTTTCTCCATATAATGGACTTCATTGGGGACCAAACGGTTCAAGGTCCAAAAGACAGTTTCTGTGCAAACTGTTCAAAGGGCTTTAAACGATTCCAGACGATGAATAAGGGTCTTATCAAGCGAAACGCTCGGTCATTAAAAAAAAAAAAACCCACAAGTTTAAGTTTTATAAGCTCAAATGGTCACCTTGCTCTGTTCTGTTATGCATGTTCATGATTTTCCTATTTGAACTCGTTCATCAAAATTAACAAATATTTTTCCGAGTCATTAGGTTCATTCAATGAACGAAATGAATGAATTGACTCGAAAAAAGATTTGTCAGGGCTGCCAACTCTCAAGCATTCAGCACAAGACTCTCGCAATTGAGCAATTCTCTAGCCTGGTTCTACCAGACTCTCGTGAAGGAAAAT